CAATTTTCAGGATTCAAACTCTATCGGTTCACTCACAATTCAAATTGAACCAAATTTAATACACATTTCTAAAACTTCCTACATATCTCACCCTGACTCTAAATTTCATGATTATAGCTCTATTACTTCACCTAAAAATCAAATTGTACCAAATTTAGTACCATTTAGTACCCATAAGAATTGTTTTCTTAAACTGAATCCTGACTCCAATCCCACACCCCTACAATGATCCTAACTTCAAATTTCATTGTTCCCGCTCTATCGGTTCACCAAAATCCAAACTGTACCGATTATAGTACGATTTAGTACTTTTTGTACACACAATTAACAAATTTCCAAAACTACGTTCATATCCCAATCCTACACTTCGATGTTACTTTTAATTTCAAATCCCAGAATTCCAGCTCGATTTGAATTTCCAAATTAAATTTGTACCAAATATAGTACCATATAGTACTTTTCGTACACATGAGTACACGCTTTCAAAACCATCTCCTTAAATGGACCCTACTTCTCAACCTTAATTCACACTCCAAATTTTTTAACGCTATCTGTTCCCATGCTACAGATTTGTACCAAATTTAGTACATTTTCGCACTTTTCGGATGGTTATAGTTCGAATTTCTAAAAACCATTTGGTGCATCTATCCTACACCAAACCAAATTTCGGAGTTCTAGCTCCAACGGTTCGCCGAATACAAATGGCATCACATTTACTTTTCGTACCATTCTAGTACGAATTTCCAAAAACCCAGCCTTATCTGTCACATTTGGACCAAGACCAAGCTTCAGCCGTTTCGTCTGTGCGTTGATGAATCGTTAAATCAGTCAGTCAATCATTTTACTCTTTTATTAGTATAAATTCTCTTATTTCGAACTTAACGTTTACGGTTCAAATACGTATCGCAAAAGTGGAACTTTTTCGGTGTATTTCGGTCACTTCAGTTCACGAATCCTAATCCCGCAAGCAAACGGAGGATACTTGTCGTTACAATAGGAAATTTTGAATATATTTATTCAATTTTACAGCATAGCACTTAAGCATTTACAATCCAAATATAATTGTTTTTTTAAATAAGTAGTAGATTTGGTACAATGATTCTTATTGGGTACCAAATTTCTCCACTAAAATTTATAAATAAAGGTCCATTTTTTCGGGTAGCCCCCATATAAGGGCACATCCAATGTTAGGTAATTTTATCGCGGTGATGATGGTGGGGGTGTGCATATACTGAACTCAAGGGAATGGGGTATGCTAAAGACAACGAGAGCTTCAAAACAGTTCATGGCGTATTGGTGTAAATATAATGAAAAGAGAAGAAAGGGTTTACAAGAAATAAAACACAAGAGATAATTAGTAAATTATTCTATATCAAGCTTGACTTTATTACCTTGGTAATCTTTGGTTTGGCGGCGTCAGACGTTAGCTCGACTAGATAGTTATTTAGCACGTGAACTTCTAAGGAGGTTGAAGTTCACGTGCAACCGATCCTCTGTGATAACGGTGATCGCTGAGGATCGGTTGTCGTTTACTAATGCATTTACATATTCCAATGGGAGAAAAGGTCAAGCAAGTAGAGCAGAACAACAACAACCACCGCTCGGTGGCATCTGCATTCTACGGTCTCCGCTGTTCCCTTGTCGAGGAGATGCCGTGATGTCAATCAGAAGACGTGATTGACTGAGCTCGGGAAGGTGAGTCAGAACGTATCAAACATACACATTCCGGCCCCCTTTCTACGACCGACAAAGTAGCAGTTAACAATAAAATTGGAATATGGGTTAGTAAAAGCTTTATGACGTAAATTCAGATTTTAAGTGATCTTCAATCTACAAATTACAAATTTAATAAACATCACAAGTTTAGTAAATATGCGATTAATGTATTCAAACGATATTATTTACTATGGTGATTGATTTATAGTATGGGTGCGATATTAGGTGGCAGGAACTAACCCGCAGGAACTAACCCGCACATTAATTTTGGTGGTTCAGCTTCCAGTATTTGGACGTAAAGATCAGCGCCAAGTAGCAAGTCTTCTGGGCTGCCAAATGTGTCAGCTAAATCTAAAGGAATTTTAGATTTCAAAGTTCGAATAGGTGGAGTTAAAAACAATTTCCACTTGACATTGGACCGGACTATTGCTTTTGTTTCTACAATTCTGGACGAGTTTGTGGAGGGGACAACAAAGTCTGTCCTAGACTTTTGACCTTTTTAAAAGCCGGATGTGAATTGGAGGAGGTGAATTGGCCGGTGAAGAAGGGCGAGCCTCACCGGTGGTCTACTGTAGTAGGTGACAGAGACGTTCAATGTCTGATGCCTGAATTTTTTACAAATATGATGCTGAACAGATTCTGGAATGTGAGCAAGATATAAAATCGCCAGCAAAAACTTCAATGTCGACTATGATTATCAACAGGTGGATTGGTGCAGTCATTGGTGGTGGAAGAATATTGAAATTCACAAGGAACTATAGGAGTTGTGGACTGCACAGTATTCGAAGTTAAAGATGAAAAGAAGGTGCTAGGTGGCGCATAATTGTGACAATTTGGTGGAGATTGTGAATCTGGTGGAGCTATAGCTAGGGACCTATTACTTACAAGACTTTGAAGACAATTGAGATGCCGATTTATGGTGGATATTTTATATTTTTCCTTAACGCCATCAAATTTATCAACCTGTGCAGTCTCGAATGTGGCAAGGTATGTTTAGCACTCATTATAAGTGCACTTAACTTTATCCCATAACTCTAGAATTTCTGTATTGCGAATTTCGAGGTTGTATGCAGAATACTGGGATTCTGGAATTTTTTCAAAGAATTCCACACTTTTTACGACAATGTCAGTAGCTCTATTGAAGCGAGTGAGTGGAGTTATCGGCATTATGTAGGGAGGAAATACAGTAGATAATATATAATAATGCCTATAAACAAAAACTACACTATTAATAACAAAGGTTGAAGAGAATAGTAATTGAATGACAACAAAGGTTGATATAGCTCAAAAGATATTCCACCAAACACTCCAAAATATGGACAAAATTTTTAAAATATTGCAAATGTCTATATTAAAGTTGTACAAAGTGAAGAAATTTTAAAGAAGTTCTTCACGATGTACCCTACTTTTCAAAGACCACAAAAACAAGTTTGCTTTTTCAAACTTGAATAAAAGCAAACAATTTCACCAAATGTGCCACGCTTCCACTACAGGGAGTCTACGATCCGAAACGACCCGAGTCTTACTCGGCCAACGTCTGTCACCTCAGCCCGTTGTGTAATAGCAAGGTTGCTACAACAACCAAATGTGCCAAATGTAGGGTGCAAGTGATCAAAAATGTAAAAAAACTAACAAGGAGTACTCACTTTTTCAAAAATTTTGAGTAAGAGCAACAAAAACAACGAAGAAATATTTCAAAAAAAAAAAATACTTTTACTCAGTTGCCGAATGTAGGGTACAAATATCCAAAATTATCAAAACCCTACTAATAATCAATACTTATTCAAAAATATTTTTAATATTAATTTTTGTATATTCACAATTTTTTTCGCTTGGTGCCACTGTGCTGTAGTGTAGTGAATAACGAATATCACACAAAACAACTTCAGTAGTGTTGGCGTAGTTGTGTTCAGTAGTTTGTTTTTGCAAAATAGTCAACGTCGTTGTGTGCATTTGTCGCGATGTGACAACACACAACAGTGGGAAAGGTATGGTATTGTTTGTAAATGCATTGTTAACCTCGAAGTGAGGCACCAGCGAAATTCTCATGCAGTTTATTTCGATGGTCAGCTAAGTACTTCTCTTTGTTACAAGAGAGATTTGGGTATGAAAGGTTTTTTGGATAGAACCACCATTTCCGTTTTTTATATTGTGGCGTAACAACGGTAAAAAATAAAAACAAATTGTTTTCACAACATAGTAAATTTGTTGGCTAAATATATTCCAGGTCAAACATTATATATATTTGTCTATAAAAATGTTATTGCTTTATATTTCAAAACACTCTAAACTGCAAATAAAAATAACTTGGTGGGTAATGTGGACCAGTATGTGTGGGTAATGAGGATCAGTAAGTTAAAGGTAGGTTGTGGATTGATTGTGATAAATTTCAATTTATTGCACTCTTGTGTAACAATGAATGCAAAAATATATGGGTTCATGTTTTGCAATAGCCCCCATTTAAGGGTATTGCCCCATTAGCGGTATTATGAAGGTCCTTTCTTCGTTATCCAACCGAAGCACCTGTAATTTCGCATATCGAGTTTTCAGAGAATACCTCCTCGCATATTAAATGCGCCCATGTTTCGAGCTCGTCCTCATTAAAAGGTCCCACTTTTTTATAGTGGTCCACATTACCCGACATTGAATATTTTTATTTAAAAATTATCGGCTTCAAAAATGAATAAAAATTATTATTTCCAATAGATGGATTTTCCTCAGTTGTTACGATATCATAACAACAGAGCAAACAATATTAAACGTTTTAAACGCAATATCGCAACCTTATAAAATAAAAACATATTCTTTGAGTACAGATCTCTAATTTTATTTACATTTTATAAATACATTATCGCGTATTTGCGTTTTTATACACACATTATTGCCTATTTGCGTTTTTATTGTTAACATGCCTCTGTTATGCATGATTCCCCTTGGTTATGTTTTCATGAACTATTTTGTCAAAATGCATTTTGTCGAGTCTTTACGGTTTCTATGTCTTTGTTTTGATCAACACCTGCATTTGTAACATCGAATGGCGTTACGTTCATTGAAATTTTAATTTTCAATTTTATATAGCGAGTTCTATACTAGTGTCGGTTTTTGCATAGAATTTTGCTATGATCAAAGTCTATGTCTGACGTGAATTTTTAAATTATTCAAATGTAAATAAATTTCATTAATTCTATTTCAAATTAGTCAATCTAGTTGCCAATTTTATTTCATTATTGTAATCAATTACTTACTTATATATATATATATATATATTAATGTTATCGTTTTAGGTTAAAATTTGGTTTCAAAATCACAGATATAAATGTAAACGACAAGCGAAGGAAAAAGCTATGGCTGAACAAAATTCCCAAAACCAGGTAATATAACATTTTTTATTTTATTAATAGATGATATTACATATTGTGGTTTATATTTTAATTCAATTATATAAATATGTTCGTATTGAAATTTTCATCCATAATTTGGCATAGCGATATTGCTGTTAGCCAGTTGATATATTATATATTCATGTAATGAATGTTCTATACTATTTGTAGTTGTAGTTTTATACATTATATTCATTAATAATAAGATTTCTATATTTAAGACTTGCATTAAGATAATTAAACAAATTAAGACAATTCGTGCCATTTAGTATATCAATAACTTCATGATATTCAAGAATACATTTACCAAAGAATCTATTTCTTAAATGAGCATATATGGTGCATGCTCCAATAAAGAGGTATGTGTTTTCTATTTCACTCATATTACAAATTGAACAAAGAAGACTTGTATTATTGTTCCCAGTAAAATGTTTGCCGTTTAAGTTAAGTAAACCCCCTCTAGCTTTTATAATTAATCCTGTCGCATATGTAGACAAATGTTTAGTACAGGTTGATATCTGAAGAATACATATCATGAGATTCTGAATTCTTTGCATTAGTGCACATTTCATTTTGCTCTTGATTTTTTACAGCATTAGTAATATCCTTCCAATATAAACAAATGGGAATGTTATTATTGGAAGGATAGAACTGCACTGCGTGGCAATCTCTGTGGGTTTAATTGCAGAACTTTATTTATTTAAAGTTTTATTATATAAAGTTGGAAGATCAATTTCTAAGTGAAGCATATAATTGGGTGTGTTGTTTGGTAGATATAGCATTTTTTAATGTAAAATCGTAATAGCTTTTCTACACATTCATATTTCTGAAATCCCCAGATCAGAGCTCCATAGAAAATTATGGACCTTGAGGATGCTGTTTATTTTCGATATTTTAGGCTGTGATATATATTTTAGCTATGTAGAATTGATGGCCATTTTAGATGATATTAGTTTTTCTTGAAGATGAACATTGAAAGATAAATTTTAGTTTAATAAGATACCAACTTAATACTCGTGTCAATATGAATATGGCAAATTATGTTTTTCAAAAATGAGTCAACAGGGTCATACAATTCGAAATTTTCCTTTTTAAACGCCCTCCTGTATTCAATTTACTCAATCTGTGTGCTGGGGAAAGTTTGAAAACGCAAATCTTTCTTAATGGATTAACACGCAATTTCCAGCATTTTCAAGTGGTATATAAATTCGAGTTCCCTTATAACGAACTTTTTTACAACGAACACATTTCCCGGCCCGTAGTTGTATGACATATTTTGCTAAAAGAGTAAAGATTTGTATTGTTACTCTTATAGTGAACTACGGATATATCGAACTATTTATTCGGTCCCAATTTGCAATTTTCATTTATTTTACAATCCTCATAAAAGTTTATTTTAATCTCTACAAATAATTGTCAAAAAGGTCACAAAACCTCTCAGTTCCCAACTGAATATATTTTTTGTTCTAAGCCTTCATCTATAACGAACTAATATGATTGGTCCCTACGAGGCCGTTCTTGACTTTATTGTATAAATAAAATTAAGTAACATTATTGAATGTTCTCCCGGACGTGTCAAGTATGAACTAGCTATTCGATCAGATCAGAACTTTGATTATTAAAAGGTATAAATAAATATTAATTTTTTGTACAGGCCAGATTTTTGTTTTGAATACTTGAAATTTTTTACGGAAACTATGTTTTTATATTTTTTTCTTATCAATATAGTTTACAAATAAATTTATAAAATATGGTTAAAAGGCGCCGGATAACGAGATCATTTGCGCCCATAGGTGGTCAAATTTATTTACAGATTAGATTTCATTGAATAAATTAATAGTAATTAGATTATAAGGAAGATTAATTTTATGTATATATATGCTTTGTGAAATATAAAATTATATATTATAAAAAGAGAATGTAGATGTCAAGAGTGCCACGTTTGTGGAGGGAGTTTCGCATTCTCGGCAACATATATCATGTTGAGCAATCGAGAATTCTTCCTATAGGTTCGTCGATCCTTGAGGATGGACATTCTGATAGAATGTGTACCACAGAAAGAAAAAAACGTTGCAAAATCAGCACCTGGCTGGTACAATATTTTTATAATAATGTCTAATAAGACAAGCCAGAAAACTGCAGTCGGCCCTACTGAGATGTTCGTCGTAGTTTGTCCTATTTACTGAGGGATTAACTGATCTTAGGAAAACATCGGAACGATTCCAGAGATCAAAGTACGCTGTATATATGGTGAGGATATTAACTTTGGAAAAAAATGCGGCTCAGAAATATGCCGCATTTATATTTAGAGCTCGCTTGGTAGATTCGTCAGCGTATTCATTTCCTGCAATACAAATGTGGGATGGAATCCACAAAATTACAGCATCTACGTCAAATGCTCTAAGCTAAACGAAAACAAAAGATCCCTTGCGGTTTGCTTTTATTGTTCTGGTAACACTCAGGCTGTCAGTACAGATTAGCGTCTTACCCGCAGACCTGAAGCATATGTCATAGCCGATATGACAGCTGCCAGTTCTGCTGAGAAGACTCCAATTCCGTCCGGCAAGCGGCGTTCGTAAATTTTTTCAAAGATGCAATTTAATATTTGTTTTACTATGGAATAATATCTTGACATTCCATCAAAAGATCCATCAGTATACAAGACCCACTGCGGGCTGTAAGATGAGATCTTATCAGGCAAGAGAGACTTGTAGAGCAGGTCTTATGCAGACCATCCATTATGGCCCTAGATGGTAGATTAACAAAACATTTCTCATGGAGTTGGCCGAAGCTAGTAAATCTTCCTTCAACTTTTAAGGAAGATTGTTTAGGCGAGGGTATTATTAGTTAAATTATTCTAATTATCTCGGTTTAATAGTCGTAATCTTTTCTTAATACAACAAATAAATTACCTCTTGTAATTTATGGTGGCGGCGACAGAGGCCTGTTAGTAGATAACGCGTAGACGTTATTCAACAAATTACTTCTATGGAGGTGGGTCGACAAGTGAACGCTGTGGTTCATGCAATCACAGAGGATTGCGGTGATCGCTCAGGATCGGTTGTCGTTTACTACTACATTAACATATTCCAATGGTAGAAAAGTGTCCAGCAAGGAGAGCAAACCAGCAACAACCACCGCTCGGTGGCATCTGCACCCTACGGTCTCCGCTGAGGGAACTTGCAGAGGAGATGTCCGTGGTGTCAATCAGCAGACGTGATTGACTGAGCTCGGGAAGTTGAGTCAGAAGGTATCAAATTTATGCATTGGTCTAAGGAGAGCAGTGGCAGTACGAAAATATTTGTTAGTGACAACCTCTAATTTCTTCTTATTACCTATAGAAGTCCAGCCGTAAAGTGTCCGAATCGGGAAGCCTTTTCCTAAGAATCTGAAATTTCTCTGTTAGATGAGAAAATTGTAGGAAAAGATGCCATACTTCGTCTTCTCAAGTTTTTAAATCTACTCCAAAGAATTCTGGTATACAGGTAGGGTTTAAGGGAGTTTAGAAAATTATTCCATGTTTGCCTCATGGCAATTTTGCATTCGGATTTCACAACTGCACATGATCTCCCGTTGGAAATCCCGTTCTGCTAATTCCGCAGTCTCTTGAATTTCTTCCAGGCTTTCTGTCTTAGAAAAATCAATATAGAAATTGTACTGTTAAACCAGAATGAGGCGTTCTTCTTATAGGTTTTGGACTGGATTTTCTCGGAATGGATTCATTTGCTGCTTTGCAAAATATACGTTGAATCTAGGCAGCTTCTCTATTAACATTTATTAAAAGTCGATAATTTTGTTCTAAATAAATTCCAGTCTGCATTTTTTAGTATAAATTTTTGAATGAATTTGCGATTGTATGTTGAATTGTTACCAGATATCAGAATGGGAAAGTGATCTCCCACTTCTGGCATATCCAAGGTGTGCCAATTTAAATGAGGGGCTAGTTCGGACGTACGCATTGAAACATCGATTGACGTGAGTAAGTTCCGGATGCTAAGTAAGGTTGCCGAACCATCGTTTAAGAAGACTAGCCACCTGTCCTCAGCAAAATCCACACATAGCTTACCAGAGCGGGAGTTGGAAGAGGAGCCCCAAACAGTATTATGGGAATTTAGGTCACCGACGATAAGTTGATGACCGGTGTTATGGGTATGAATTTGATTGGTTATGTTTCTTTCATTCAAAAACAACGTGATGTTCATTGTAGACATTTGTTATTGTGAGAGAGAAACCACAATCGATAGTTACTGATTGAAATAATGGACTACAATTTGAGTTATTATGTGAAGTGATACTAATATTGTTGCTGACTAATATAGTGATATATATATAGATTAATTATATTTCTTATTGTGATGAAAATAATGTTAGGATTTATATGTAGAGGTACTTAGCACGGTTTTTCTATATGTTTCAGGCGTTATGATGACCTTGAGATTTGGAAATTTTGTGAAGGTTTGGCTTCATGGAGACATTTCTACGTCCGTCTGATCATATTCACGTACTGGGGACGCTATCGTGTCACTGGAAATTTCTTGGATTTCTATTTTCGTGAGATCAGTTGTTGTTTTAGTTTGTGTTATGTGCGAGCTGGAGTTGTTTAATTCACTGTTAGGTAAGATGTTGATATGTTCTGTTGGCTGGTTTTCGTGATGGATAGTGAGTTTATATTTTTGATGATAGCGGATTTTTTTTTCTGTTGGATTTCATGTGTCGTTATTTCATTCTGCGTAGTTGAGATTTTGCTGAGGCATTGTTGTGTTTTGGAGTTGCGGATATTGTTGTTACGGGTTGTTGTTTTCGTGTAAAATTCATGGATTCAGAGGGTGTTTTGGGAAGGGTTTGTTTTTCTGATTCATTTACACCTCGTACTGCTTCTGAATAGGTGGCTTTTTGTACATGTGGTACGATAAGGTGGAAAGATGGATTTGAATAAAAATTTTCCGTTCCTCGCAAACAGTACAACTATTATTTATTTTGATTTTGTTTAC